AGTAGTCATAAATAGAGTTGAGGCGAGTAAGAAAAATATAGAGAATAATCAATCCTGTAGAGCAACATCTATATATTAGTATAAATGGGAAATTCTTGCATAATTAGAGTTATAGTGTTTCAACCCTTATTTCTAATATTAGCATAAATAGTATCATACTTATTATATTATAGGATATTTAACATAGATTTAATTTTCCCACATGTAATCATCTGAGAAAATTATAAATAAAGGTAATATAGGTTCATCATTGAGGATGTCTTATAAATATACCCATAAACTATTCTCTTTGGCTTATGTAAAAATATTCTTGGGTAACATCCACCTTAATTGTCTCACTAGGCATGTTTACTCTCTCGGCCTTAATCTATTGTCAACGAATGTACTAATTTGGGAATTGGAATGCTTAATGTCCTTGAGATGAACTATGGTGGTAGAGTGATTTGGTATTTGTGTTTACGCACTAATAGCTATTATCACAATAATTAGAGTTTTGCCTTTCCCTCCACATCACTAAATTGGTGACCTACACCAATATATGTACACTATTCAGAAATTGGGTAAAAGCCTAGATACACCCTAGATATTGTTATGGTTTAGCTCTCTATTTAAAAATAGAGTACACTCTTCTTGGTAATATCCTATGATCAACCAATCTATTAACCAAGTACGAAACTCACAACATGCGTATATGTATCCTCATTAGACCTAATTAACTCATTCTAATTGTATAATATCAAGCTAACGACATGATATTTATGTCATTGGATATCCAATATCGTGTACTCTTATCAGTTCTTGATGTATTTGTGATGCCACTTATAACAATATCCATCGATCATCTTTATTGGTAGAATAAATCACGTTTATCTATACATTGTTAGGGATAGGTAACCATTATAAGACTGATCAATAGCTGTTAAAGGCCAAATATGCTAATTTGAACATGATAGTTAAGATGATTACATTATTTGATTCATCTATCAAGTAATATAGGGTTATTTCTCGGACCAACAAAATTTAGTATTCATTCTCCCTCAATACAGGGACCAAATATGTATGTATAAGGGTTATTACCATTAGACTATCTATATGTATGTACAATCCTAATAACTATTAAAGGGTATAGACCATTATCCTTGTTCAATCATAAGGATTTTGATCATCCATAGCCTTTATGGTACTCTCCCTTTAATAGATACATGATAATATATGCTATGATAACATATGTAATAACATAAATTTCATATTCTCAAACCTAAATTGATTTCTCTATCTAGTTCCATAGAAGGAAAGAATCCCGAGGGTAGATACGATTGATCTTAAACAACCGACCACTCCCCTTTTGGCCCTCCCTAAGTCCTCTAATATTTAATGTCTCTCTAATACTATGAAAGAGCGAGGAGGGAGAGGGAGAGACAGAGGAGAGACAGATTGAGAAACATGGAAAACATATTATAATGGTATTACTCACATTATAATATTAAGTTAATAGAATAAGAACTTATATACATATACACATGATCCCTTTGATGATATCTACAATGAGACAATCCTTATTTAATGATATAGAGGGTTAGTTGTTCATATGGAGGATAAACTATTAACTATCCTAATTGAGTCTTCATATTTGTATGAAAAGAATTGGACTATTATTGTATAGTAGGAGATTCTATTAAATAGTACCCGAGCTCATAGGGAATAAGGAGCTAAATAATTAGTTCTAGAGAGTTCTCATACATTAAAAAGGTGTCTATGGATATTGCGTACCTCGTCTGGTAGGGCTAATGGATATTATAAGGATTAATAATATTAAATGCATTATTGATTCTAGTATATCCCAACCATAATATGGGTTGATGGTTGGAGGTTTGCATATACACCATACTTTGTAAATATTTCAACTATCCCCTGTATAATAACTCGTATAATTATGGATGAGTAGTTAGATGACTAACGACTTATTAGGCTCACCTAATCTCTTTAGTAAAACCCTTTCTACATATCGGGGTGAATTAGATGAATAAGTTAACTAATACTTAATAGGTGTTTACATCTTCATTAGAGGTTGATTATTTCCCTCTCTCTATCATGTATCAATGTAATTATAGGAATAACACTCTTCTCCATCTCCCTCTCTCTAACATTGCTAAGAAAGGAGGCCCCATCTCTCATTTAGACTCCTATATATATGACTAAGATAGGTTGTTAATTCAAATCAAATATGATGAATCACATTGATATTTAAATTAGACAGCCATATGGTGAGACAATTTATAGTAATGGAGTCTAAATGATAGATGGTCTCATGAGAGGAGGGTTATGTTAAAGTAAATTACCAAACTTGTATAATATCATTATCAAATCCTTAGTCGAATTTCCATGGATTCAGATTGGAAACTCTCCCCTATGTAACGATGGACTAATATGAACCTGTTTATCTCCCTCGCCTTAAGATTCTCTAGGGGTTTTAATATCGCTTTTGATTATTCATCCTATTTTGACAATCTCCTCCTAGGATAGGCGCTATTCACACATAAAAAGTCAAATAATTAACTTTTCCAAGTATATATCTATTACTTTCAAGTTGGCATGTACTAATTTATACAATGGAACAACATAATTAAATTTAGTAGGGAGGGAGAGAGAGGGGCCTATGTGCAATAAATGGGAAAATATCTCCGGTTAACCTCCTTTTTGGTACTTGGTGAATAAATACTTTCATATTATATTAATGGTATATTCAAAATAGACCAAGTACTATTATACGGGTATCAAACTCCATAACCTTATCTCTCAATCACCAAATTTATACTTTAGGTTACCATAGGGAGAGGTTAATATCCTAATTCAAGTAATTTGGTGATGTCTCCATCTCTATATAATTGGCATAGTATTTATTCCCCTTAGTTTGATACCTTTGGACTTCGATACCTTTGGACTTTCTATTACTTGAATTAGGGAGGGAGAGATTATATTGTTAATATAAATTATATATATATTATAAGATATAATTATAAAATACTAAACAATATTATTCAATACCCCGACGTATTTAAAAATTATTACTATTGATTATTTCTAGATTATTCCATAAATAATAGTCCAATATAGACTAATTAAGGGACCAATTTATGGTACTCTATTTGTAGGCTTTTTCTCTAAAATATATTATTTTCAATATATAGTCATAAAATATTGAGACATGTAAAGGCTTGAAGAGGGAGTAATCATATATCCACATGGTGATATGTTATTTGATGGGTTATTGATACATTCACCCCAATCATTTATGTATAAACCCCATAATGAAATATGGGACCATCCATTTAAATAATAGGTCTCAATCAGCTTATAATTTTTCCTTAGTCATTTATGTTTTCCCTTAATCGCAATATATTATATCAAGGGTGACAACATCCTCCCCTTGGGATCTTATATATCAAGGATTACCATATACCATAAGGAAGAGTGGCCTAATACACCCTCGTATAGGAATAAGGAGATGCCAAATGAACTATATCAAGAATATCTATAAAAGGAAAATATCTCCCTCTCCCTATGGGTTCCCTTATGTGAGACTAAAGAGAGGAGAACAAATATTAATAATCTTTCTATGGAGAGTACCATGACACTAACCCATTTTGTTTGGGTGGCAAGGCATTTTAAGGAACATTCTTGATAATGCTACGACTTAGGACATTTAATGATATCATTTTATATGCATTAGTGTTTGTCTCACATCTTTCTATCGATCATTATTGAAAATTCATATCATAAGGACTTCTATCTAATTCTACTGAATTTATAAACTTAAATTAAAAACTTAGGGGGAATTAAATTTGAATATGGAATTGGAAGGAATATATCGAGGCGACTATATTATGTCAATCTTATTGAGAAACCTTTGTATCTATTGATAGGCTCTATGAAGCGAGTATTAGAGAGTATTATTTGTAATAAGCTACAAACATTTAAACCACTAGTGGAGACCTAAGGATTTCTTCAGACTTGCAACCAATAATATCAATCTTCACCTATTATATGAGGATTGAATTTTCCAACTCGTATACCAAGAAATCCTAATATTTTCATATTGCATCAAGTCTATGTAAGAGTGTCATAATAACTAGTGGAGACATAATTTCAAATGTACTTCTCTTTCTCTCTCTCCATAAGCTTCACCTAGAGAGGTCGAGCTAAGTTATTCTTCCATAAAAAGCGTAATTATATGCCATGACTGCCTATAATTAGTTAATATCATTCATAAATGATTAAATATAAGATTTTTGTATCCTTGGACTTACTAGTAACCAAAGCTTCTATCCCTCTCCCAATTAATTGTCCATATTCTAAAAATGTGTGTTAATATCTATGGTTACAATATTTCCTAGGTTGAGAGGGAGAGGGAGAAAAGAGGATTAAGCACCTCATCTTGAAAGTCAGTTAGTAATTTCAAGAGGGGCTACAATTATCTAAGCTTCTAAATGTCTAAATATCATCCTTTAAGGGGTAAATATCAAGAGTCCCTACAATATAGACAGACCAAATATTATATTAATGGAATTGAGAGGAGAATTTTGTATTTTAGTTAGAGAACTATATGATCCAAACCATAATCGCCAACATGTCTTTCTTAAATTTGGTGCCTCTCAATCAAGGTGTTTACCATAGATTTAACTCAATATATTAATGATGGGTTCTAAATACTGTATAGTTTACCTCTCCAATTAGGTTATATATATAATTATCAATGTTTACCAAATTTTTACATCCAAATCTTGGATATAGATCGGTATACGTTATGAATTAATTATCTTACGTCCTTATTAAACCATACCGAATAGATTAATATTTAACCTTTTGAGGGGACCCTTATTAATTTACCTATCTCCGATTATATCAACATGATGCAATTATAGACCAAGTCTCTCATTAACATAATATTTAGAGATTATGGAGTCATATCAATTAATATTAAGTTATTATGATAATTACAGAGAGAGGTATTGGATACTAACATAAAGACATATTCGGGAAATTATCAGCTTGCAAGCAATAATATCAATCTTCACCTATTGTTGGTTCATATAAGGCCTAATAACCCCCTCTCACTAAGATTGGGGGAGAAAGAGAGGAGGAATGGAGAGAGAGAAGAAGAGAGTGAGTACTACAAAGGGTTATTCTTAAGACTATTGAGTAATCATATTATATGTGCATGTAAGGGATAGAGAGAGGGGAAGGAGAAAGGGAAGGGGAGAATTTTGTCAATTGTGTTCTATTGACTCACTATATATTTTGGAAGAGGGAGAGAGAGGACAATAAAAGAGAGAGGTTTACACTTAAGAACATAAATCAAATGAGGTAATGGTAACAATTCCTTTGACAAAATCCTAGTTTTATAACCTGAATCATTAAAGTGGAAAGAGCTTTGTTCATTAAGATCAATTGGTAAAAATGGATTAAAATCATTTGGCAATATTTCTCACTTATTAAGGATTTTGTATTTTCCTTCTCGATCTAATGGCTAATCAAACTATGATAATATAGAGGAGGGAGGGGTCATAAGTGTTATCTTCGTCATCCAATAGGTCAATATAAAGGAGTGGAATTAATATATGTTCAATCTCTCTCCAACAGATCAATATAATCTATGTACTATAACAATTTTAGCTATTTTCACCAACTTATAATAAGGATAATGACCTAATATAGGATTAATATGTTGGCCTCACTTTCTCTTTATATAGGCTAGTCATGCATTAGAAAGATGCTTAAAATTCTACTAGTTGGAGGGACATAATCAATCATAACAACACTTGATTAACATTAGGTCATTTCTGTTTCTCTACATATGAATCAACTAACCATCGGCTTGTGTATGACCATCCTTTAAAAAATGTTGAAGACCTTTTCAATATCGACCTTAAAACACTTATAACTATGATCATAATATTATTCACCCATTCATGGTGATCATTGACGAGCATCTTATTTATCTTGTTTGATTAATATGCTTATCAAACATGCTTCATTTGGGTGATGGATAAGATGGGAAAAGTAGTGACCTTCCTCTCTCTAGATTTCATTATCATAGGAGGGCTAAAACTCATAGAGTAGGGGATCAATAGATAAATGGTAATATAATTTGATTGAAGCCAATATGCTCAGTCTATGTATCAATCTAATAGCATGGTTGTTGAGTAATTTTCATTATGCCATGAGGACATCCAATAAGATATTAATCTAAAATAATTATCATAATTAACATGAGTGTGGTACTACAAGTATCAATAGGGATAATTATTCCCCCATATATTGTCAAGTTACTATTAAGAAAGAAAGTCTCCTATGATACTCATGTTAATTATCCTTGGTATCTATTGTTAATATATTTTGTCCTCCTAACATCCGAAAAATGGGACTTATTGCTCAAGAAACTCTATTAACACACATTGGTTAATCAATTATAAATATGCATGACTCTCTAAGCAACAAGTATAAATAGTAATAGCCTCTATTTTATCTACTAAATATTAACGGTGCCCCTTAAGAACTTAGGTATGTTGCTAACATAGATATAGGTTAAATAAACAATGTGTTTAACTTACTATTCCAAAGTCGAAGGACCAATCTTTCCTAGCCCTCTCTCCTAAGCTTAGAATGATTTCTATATCATATCCACATTAACATTAATATTATTATAGAGATACAAGCATCCACCAATATACTCCATTATGATATATTTCCTTAATGCTTTACGAAAAGGGTTAGTCTAACTATTTTATTAGAACTATGTCTGAAGAAAAAATCAATTAAGTGTTGCATGCTTAAATTATATAGCATTCACTATATCCTTGTATACAAGGGAATTTCGCTAGAGCTAATTATTTGACCTATATGACCAATTTATTAATTACTGTCTGTTATCGAGGGCTACAAATTAATCCTTATTCTAACCTCTCCCCTTATTGTCACTACAGGTAGCCATTCCTATCTAATGGTAAATAGAATGTACCTAGACATGATAGGATCTAATATAGTTCTATATAATCCATGATAGGAGATTTATATTAATATAATTATGGAGTTATTTGGGTATCTCCATTCAAGTATAATATCATATCACCTCATCATGTTGAAATTAGCTTCTTCTTTTTTAATATATATACCCTTTATAATAACATTAAGATTGCAATAAATGGGTTTTCCACTAGTAGATTTCTAATCGATAAGAAATATTAATATGGTTTATAATGCAAAACAGGTCTAACATTAGGAGAGAGATTGATGATAATTATGGAGGAATCAACAATATCTAAATTATTGGGACCTCACCATCAAATACCTTTCATCCGGTCCAATAGTTATCATCCCTTATGATACTATGAGCGTAGTAATAATAATTCACTTCCTCTCAATGATAGATCTTAATTTTCTTTAGTTTAAGGGACTAAATGTATGCTAACTTTGGTTAATCCCCATGGGCCCTAGCTAATACCCTATTTGGTGTTTTAATGGTAATATTATTATAAACCTTAGGTTTCTGAAATGATTGCTCGACAAGCATAATCTATTCCTATTGGTACAAAATTCAAAATAGACCAAGCATATATGGTTGATTATTAAACTTGTATGCATGTCTTTCACCATTAAATACCCTATCATATCATAGTCAATTGATCGTTTATCAAGAGCAAACGCCATTAATGATCCAATGATTGATAAGCGTATAGGTATAATCCGCTCAATTGAAAAGGGAGAGAGGAAGGTAACCATGGTATTCTTAATAGTCTCTATCAGCGTTTTATGACTATAATATGATAATCAATTTCACGTAAGTTCTTCATATAAAAAATTAATATAAGTGATATTGCATTTGAAAGTTTATATCCGAAGGATTATTATTATAGTCATAACTAATCTATGAGGCATATCTCATGTTATATTATACTATATCATGAGAGGTAGCTTATTATAGTAAGGTGCATACCATCTTTTAGATTGAATTATGATTATCATTTTACTTTACAATTAGTACTAGAGTTGATGTAATATAGATAGGTGTATAATATTCAGACCTAATTATGATAGTTTGCGGATATAACCTTAAAAGAGGTATGAGCAATAATATGGGAATTCTCCCACTCTCTTTTTATCGTGCTCATACCATTTCACTAATGTTACTAATTTGGTTAATTCCCTTTGGAGAGAGATGCTTGGGAAAGAGGCTCAAGGGATAGAGAGGGAAGGAGATAGAGGGATAGAGAGAATACTTCCATATGGGAAGGATGACTCATCTTCTTGATAGAGGGAAAAATTTGGTAACATTAATGATGGAAAATAGGTGGAGAGGTACCTAATGATATACTATTTGGGCTCCTAGATGGACATTGACTAATTTTATAAAGGGGGTCATTCTAACTCTATATAAGATTGGGTTCATAATATATTCTCTCGTATATATTCATAACTCTTTGAGAATGAGAGACATGGCAATCTCTCTCTATCACCAGCCTAAACTCAATAAGTGGTCTCTCTTAATGATAAAAACCTTCGAGTCATTAGGTTATTGACTTATAACACAATTGATAAAATTCTTCCCTTCCCTTTCTCCCTCCCCTCCCTCTATTCGAGATTAAGGGGGAGAGAGGAGGAAGGGAGAGAGAAATGGGAGAGTGAGCACTACAAAGGGTTATTCATAAGAGTATTGACTAATCGTATTATATGTGCATGTAAGTGATAGAGGGAGGGAGGGAGAAAGGGAGGGGAGGTCATTGGTGTATCCCTTAGAGAGAGGGGAGAGTACTTAAATAAAAACTAAAGAGAGACATATTTATCTTTCCCTCTCTAGTGGTATCCAATACGGTAGGATATTATTTGAGGAGAGGAGTCTATTTTTGGAGTCATTAGTAACTCATACCATTCGTTAGCGCTACCTCATCTCCCTAAAGATGAGATAAATATCATTTCATCGGGAAATGAGTGTAGGGTCATATAGACCTTCATAAACTAAAAGGTTAAATAGCCTATTATATTACTCCACCTACACTAATTATCTACCAAGTTTATGTGTTGATTGATCATTCCTCTATCTAAAAGCGACCTTTCATGATATAATATTTGATTCATCATTCCCATGTCACTCTTCCATTAATAGAGAGATGGGAGTCTCCTTGGTGAAAGAGGATATTAATCACTAAGTAGAGAGTAAAACTAGTAGAGAAGACTAGGCAATAAAAGGTGAAGATATTCCTAAAAAGATAGTGAAGTCCTCTCGACCCTCCCTATATTTAAATATTACATTGTATATTTTATAGGATATAGTTATATTGTATTGTATTGTATTAATTTATGTTATTTAACTATCATAAATATTTATAGTTAAACCATGTAATATTTTGATAAAATGATATAAGGATGAGGTTTTGTGTGATGTTGTCACAAGTAAGATGGTAAGTATCACTCTCCTAATTTTGAATAAGGGGGATCATCAATAAAAGGGATGTACCCAAGTAATTGATTTCTCCCTCTCTAACCAAGAAATAGATCGCTAGGGGCATATAATAGTAATAACAATCTTTATAGGGGAGGGGATTTATATAAGGCCTATCACTCAAAATTTAAAATATGCCTCTATTTTATCACCTCCATAGAGGGTAGGGACTATTTCGTTGATTAGACAAACTTTGATCTTATATCTCTCATTTTCTCTCCCTCTCTCGACCAAAAGGTAATACTCTAATTGAGAGGAACATCCGATTAACTTTTCAAGTGGATACTGAACAAGTTTTAATCTACGTTGTACTAATATTAGTTTAGGTATAGAAGTCCTTTTGACTCTGCTTGGGAAAAATTGGGAGAAATGGAGAGTAGGGAGAGAGATCGAGCTTAAATAATGGGTCTATATTTCAAATGGATACTATTTCAATTTTTCCTAATAAAATTATACCTACTATTATTCACATACCAATCATGGGGTTGATTATCAAGGATTAACATTTCCTTTGATTGGTATATCTGATCAATTGCTTCAGCCATTAATGTATGTCATTCCCTTATAGACATGAGGCAAAACTATATGGTACCATCACCCAAGAAAATTATAATAATACTTATAACAATGTGTGTGTGTGTAATATAATTTACATTAACAAAATTATAAAGTTTTACATTATCAAAGGAAGGAGTCTAATACTAATTGAAGGATCATAATAACACAATCTATCTTGAAAGTAGATTGAATGGGTATCGTGCATTATTCCCAAATCGATCATTCACATAAATTTGTAGCAACGTCAACTTAGTAATATGAACGAGAATCTAAAACAATGCAATAATTGACACTATGAATTATCAATATTGGAATTTTATATAAAAGGAAAATATCTCCCTAAGAAAATTCCATAGATAGGATATTTAGGTTAATGATTCCTAAATATACAGAGAAATAATCTAGCGGTATATAATTATTAAAGAGAGGAATCATGGAATATAATTATCCCTATTAGTATTTTAAAGATATTTTGATAAATAGATTAATAGTGGAAGCATGCTTTAGGAATCATTAATTAGGATAAGAATTATATGAGTATCCCCTATAATGTCCCACCCTCTCTCTCCTGTTAGAGGAATATTCCTTGTGAAGCCTAGAAGAGAGGGGTTCGAGATACTCTCCAATTATTATCTAAATAAGATTGGTTATGTTTGGGAAACTATATTTTACCAATTCACTATTATCATACAATTTTTAATAGTTTATCTATTTATAGTATACCAATGTACTCATAAAGGAGGTACATATGTCTATAGTTCTATTATCATAACGGGGAATATTATGAAAATGTTTTAATATTAATAACACCGAAAGGTATGGCCTATAAATTTAATTGGGGGTATTAATTTTTAATTTAATAGGAGTGCCCATTGGAGCATATCAAGAGGTGATATTAGCCTAATTAATATTGAAACATATATGATATCATATAAAATAAAGGGGATCAAATTTCTACTGTTAGAAAGGTGTCTTAGACATCTCAACTCTCTCTTAAGAACATTAAATGTTATGAGTAAGCTATAATTTGGAATTCGTGGAATGATTTGATCGTGTATTATATAGCAATTCCAAATAATATCTACTCTATAAGGAATGGGCTTCTCTACCATTATATATTCACATAAATAATAGGTAGTACTACTCTTACTATGGTATATATCACTTTTGGGATATAGAGGTCCTATCATGCTATAAATGTATTAGGTCCTCTCCATAGGTTATTAGATAGCATAATTTCAGGCTCCTACACTCGAAAAGGAGTGATTATACCTAATCCTTAGAAGTTACCCTCATATGGTTATCCATTTTAAGGATGGTGATCATACGCTCCACACAAATTATAATGGAGCATTTTTATATTTTGAACCCCTTTTAATACCTTACTATATGATATTACTGATATTATTGTCCTAATTACAGAAATTGGTTAACTTCCAAGGATTTGTTAACCTAATATATTATCCTAGTCTCTATCACAGTTTGATAGGCAGTAGGAGGCCACTTGAGTGGTAGGTTATGGAGATATTATCTCCGAGGGGAACATAGTGTATAGCAATTACTACATAACTAAGATGAATATATCCGAGTTAGAAGGGATAAAGACATTGACCAATAGAGGATTGACTATAAGTTGTCACTAAGCTCGATAATGCCCTCAATAAAGTTAGTCCCTAGCTAACCACCATCCTATCAAATAAGATCATTATTTAATAATTGTCTAGTGTTCTTGCAAACCATTATATCAGCCTAACAAATAAGGGACTTTTTATAATGATTACTACCAAATATCACATGATTTAGGTATAAACAAGATTGATTCCACTATTTCTATGTATTACACAAACTAATTTGAGAGACCCCTCTTGATGGTCGGAGATTATGTCGAGGAGACTAGATTGTTCATCTAAATGACCTTCTATTAGATCTATAGTTTGCACTCTTTCCTCAAAAATATTTCTCCAACCATTATCTCTCCAACATCAACCTTCTTTGGAAGAGAGAGAGCCCACCTTTACGAAACAAATTTTAGGAAAATATTCTATTAAATATATTAATCGGATAAAAGTGGATAAGGATTATTGGAGATTATCATTTAGGGAATAGAACTTGCTTTAAATTAATAGAGTATATAGGGTTAGAACCTTTGTGGTATATCCACCAAGTGGGCTCTCTCTCTTTCCATTTTAATAAGAAATGGAATTTGATCATTTATAAATATAAGAACAACCAATCTATATGAGTATGAATCATAGAATATCATAGTAGGGAAGAGAGAGGAAAAAATTGATAATAATAAAACCAGTTAAGAGCTAATTAGGAGAGGTTGTTATACATTATCTAGCGCCCATTATCATTCAGCTTTGGATTAACGACGTTGGTAGAGTGATTTGGTCTTCGTGTTTACGCACTAATAGCTATTATCACAATAATTTAAGTTTTTCCCTTCCCTCCACATCACCAAATTAGTAAATTGGTGAACTACACCAATATATGTACTTTATTGAGACATTGGATAAAAGGCTACATACCTAGTATCATATTACCAAGAAAATAATCTATCATAGTATTAATCTATTTTAATATTATTAGAGAGACATCAATAAATGATAATATGGTAAAATAATGATTTCAATTATACCATATTATCATATATTAGGTAGAAAGATCTGTTTGTGTGGATAGCCTTGAAAATGGCCCAATTTAAAGGATAACGGATAGAGGGTAGGCTAATTATCAAGGGCTCTAACTTTTAAATGATATTTTATCTAAACTTGAATCAGGTCCGTACATAATCTTACAATATTAATCCTAGAAAGGATACCTTTATAAAGATTATTACTAGAAGTTAATCAAGTGATGGATTGTATAAGAGACGAGTAAGCACCTCAATTTAATAAGTATTAGTGTATAGTAAACCATCTATAAAGGTAACACCTAAAAGCCGAGGAGAAACCCCTTAATTATATGAGATGACACATTTCATACGAATGGTTCTATATGAATTAGCTTAATTATGACTTTAATAAAAATGTTGAGATATTAATCTATGGAGAACAATAAGTAGGGGAATCTACTTATTACCAATATAATAATAGGTCGAGAGAGGGACTCCATAACTCTTAATAGGGAGAGTTTGTATATGGATATTAACCCCTCTAAGCCGAGAAGGGAGGAGTTAATTACATCTTGCTATTGTTCCTCTATCTCTATCTCTATCCCAACGAACAACAATCGGATTGAACCATATCTCT